AAAGGCCTTCAGCAGGAGTGTGTCAAGGGTGGAGTCCTTTGAGGACCGGTCCAGACCTCCTTTCATGCCACTCCCATTAACGAAACCCAGGTCCATTTCTTTTCCCAATGCTGACACGTCTTTTTTTTATTCCTGCTATGAGCTCCGACTATGAAAACATACAAATTCCACCTCGAAGATCCACCAGAGCAGGAACTTTTACTGAGTTTTTTGAAGATCCCAGCAGGGCATTATCTGCTGCTAATGAGAATGACGGCTATGTGGATATGAGCAGCTTCACTGGCTTTGAGAACAAGCAGCAAACCACAGACCAGGAAACAGAAAGGTATTGTAATAAATTATTACATAAGACCTGCTAGCCTTGGCCAAACAGGCAAGGCCTACTCTGCTAGGTATCGTAGGCAGATCCTCCATGTTGTTTGGCTTATACCCCCTCTCAGGAAATGCTTACAAGAAAGATTGGAAGGATACAAGATAAGCTTTTATCAGTGGGGAAAAAAAAAAAAAAAGACACCAAATTAACTCTTTACCTTGTAAATGTATACTAGGTTGTCTAGTGGATCTGGATCCTGTGGTTTACAGATGCAAACCAAATAACACATAAAACTATTTGGTTTATCTAATGGATCTAATTTTTGTGGCTGGGGGTGGGCAGGGAGAGCTTGCTTTGTTCTTCAGTAAGAAAGGTTTGACTGGATGAAAAGACAGCCTATTTGCTGGAAGGGGTTCAGCTTCATTTTTGTATTCCTGTCAATGTCTCAAAGCAACAATATATATAATTTATCTTTCAAAGTACATCAGTTAAGTATAGACCAGAAAATCCAAAATCATGAACTAATCAGACTAGACAATTAATTTTAAAAGTTGCTTTAAAGCCTATCATTATGGCCCTTTGACAGAGCTGCTGATTTACAAGTTAATTCAATAGCTCTCTCTGAAATCATATGCATTGCTAACATTAATAACAATCTTTTGTCCCATTCCATTAGATTATTTGCAAACAAGAAAATGTCCTTTCCATAGTTACACAGGGGCAATGCACTCAAGACCTTTGAATCTGAATTTGAATCTGTTGTCAGATTATAGCATACAATCAGTGGAGTGCAGAGATGTAAATAAGAAGAGTGTTTTCCATTAAGTTCATGTTAAACAGGTAATGAGAAAACAAGGTGCAAAGCAAATGAATGAAAAGGAATGTCTTTAATGCAGTTGCATTTTGATAGAGCTGTGTGAAAAAGATAAACATCTTAAAAGCAAGGTTTTCATGTCCATTTTCATCCGTCATTCTCCTTCTAAAGATTTAATACTCCTGTTTCTTTGCAACATTTATTTTTTCTTTTTTTTCTGGTCCTCTCCCCTGTCATTGTGAATGGAACAAACCATGGACATTTCACACATCCCTCTTCCAATATATCAAACTTGTGGAGTAAAAGAACTTTAACACCTCTGTATGAGTCTTGCAAACCATTTCTAAGACAAAAATGATGTACAGTGCTTTGTATTTCTGAGAGAGGTGAGAATTGGTGGGGGAGGTGAGTACGACATGGGGAAAGATGCTTAAGCTGTAGATCCAAATGTGCCTGAAGCTGAGTGGTCTGGGGGACAGGCCTGTGGTTTAGCTCTTTGGCGATGTTGGCTGGCTACAGTGTTGGGAGCCCCAGTAGTGCTGACACTGGGGCATGGTGCAGTACAGTGCAGCTTCACAATGCACACGGCCACATCTCCAGAGCAGTGCTTAGCAGAAGCTGTGTTAGCAGGGCCTGACAGCTCATTAGTCACACTGCTTTCAACGGTTTGCATTGCACCCAGCACACTGACGTTTGCTCTTGGAAAAGCTGGCCCGTTCTTTGTGTCCATGAAACACCGCCCATTTTAGGTAGTTCTTGAAGCACCAAGTTAAAAATATTAAAACTACGTCAATTGCTGTGACTCGGGCCCATTTATGAACTTCCTGTGGAAGCCTGTTGTTTCAAAGGGAGAGCCAATCCAAACTGGTTCAGGAAGTCTCAAGGTCAAGGCATGAACATAATTTTTCAGTCTGATGCTTGTTGTACATGCAGTTTTTGCTGTTGGGGAGAAATGAAGGCTAGGCTCCTAACAATCCTTTTATCAAGACAACCGGGGTGGAGGGGAAGAGCATCAGGCAGACAGCAATATACATACATCGCTGCTGAGATGATAGCTATTATGTCCTATATTTGTCAGGATGCTTTGGAGAAAGACATGCCTAAAAAGCGTTGATGAAATCTAAATGAGTAGTACACATCCAATGGCATAATATACTTGGAGAAACAATGTATGGCCTAATCATAAGGCAAAGCAAATTGTACAAGTACATGTACATGAACTTATTTACATATACATATATGATGTATGGACATGGATGTTTTCTTTCTTGCTAAAGCAGTTCTGCCTAAAATATGTGTCAATGGATTTAGGCTTTCTAATATGAATACCTATCAAACACAGCTCTACCACAACCACACAGGGATAAAAATTACTTTGAACTCCAGCCTGCTCATATCCTGAGGCTTCTTTCAAACATTTGAGAGTACAAGTGTGTTGGATTAAACCCTTGCAATATGTGAGACTTGAGCCCATGAACTTCTTTTTGGCCCATTCACCTGCAGAGCACTGGTATTTAGCATCTGCTGATACCTTATGGAATTGCTGCGTTTTTGATGAATGGCCAAGTACAACTCTTTTATTACATTTCAGAGAACAGAATGTGAGAATGCTATAGAAGATTATAATAATACGGGAACCTCCACTACTGTGTGTGATTGGGGAAAAGTAGGATGGGAGGGCGGCTTACAGAAGTTGACAGATGAGAAGATTCACTGTTTAATTTTCTTGCTTAAAAGGAAAGACCATGTGGAGTGGATTTAAACCAATAATTTCTAATTAGAAGCAATCACATTTATAGAAAAAGTCCAATAACAAAAGTGTTCTAGAAATATATCTTAACTTAGAATTACAATTGCCAGAATAGAACTGGAAATATTGTTCCCTGAAGGGCAGTGTATCCCCAAAATTTAGCTATCTGGTATTAATAATTAAACTTTGATTCAAGTGTATGACAATATAGATCATCACTAGCCTTCTGTACAGTGTAGAAATAATGGGACATAAGTGGAATTGGACAAAATTCCCCTGATCTTTCCCCAGTCCACATAGCCTGAATCAGACTCAATTTTCATTTGCTTTTGAAGTCACTTTCTAGCCCCTTTTCTCTGAAGAGTTGCACTACAAAGTGCAAAGTAACACAAACCAATTGTTCAGGCTGAAAGCGAAAAACAGCTGCACCCCACCTCTGGGACAGCACGCTGTAACCTATATCATTGCCTTGACTCTCAACAGCTATAAGTCAGAGCAATTTCACCAAAGTTAATAGCTAAACTTTAATCAGATGAAAGTGAGTTAGAATTAAAGTATTCTGGCACATGTCTTAAAGAATAGCTTCACTAGCCCAGCTTGACCTTCAGAGCATCAGCCGTGCATACGGCAGTGTGATAAACAGCAAGGCGATGGGAAAGAGATACCTCAAACACTCATTTTGTAGTCTACCACATTATCACTTCCAGTGCTTTTAGGAGAGACAGAGAGAGTCTTTTATCAGGGTATGGATAAGGTCAGGGAGACGGCATAGGTCGAATGTTTTCAGAATTTCATTTCCCCTTTTTGCTTTCTACTTAGAGTCCATAATTTGGATTTACCAGGTTTGCTAAGTTTCAGTCCTCCTTTCTACTAAGACGCTCAAAATCCAGAAAGGAAAGAAGATAGGGAGAAGGGAGAAATAAAAGGAGTATACCTGCAGCTCCACAGCTAATCCCACTGTGATGCTGAATATTCATAAGAAATGAGCTAAAAGCCCATGTTGCTGTTACCTGTACATTCCTATATCCTTCTACATAAAATGATCATCAATACATACTAGAAGAACCTCAGTCTGATTATTGTACTTAACCAACAGCAGGACTTGCTCAGACTTTGACTCTCAAGTGAATTCTTGGGGGCCAGTGTGGGGATTCCAGTGCTCTGTGCAATTACACCAAGGCTCATGGTAATTCTTAGTAAGTCTCTAGAATTGCTGTCTCATGCCTGTAAATTAATCCCAAGGCTCTGACTTTCCACTGCTTTTCAAGGCATATGGCTTCTCAGTTTTAGTACAATCAAGAAACCTGATCACCTCTTCAGTATGCTATTCCTTTGTAAATGTGTTTTATTCCCAAGGGATGCGCTTCTTCAAGAAGAAGATGGAGAAAAAATTGTCTTTAGTAGAAAGTCAGGAAAAAAACATGGTCTATGTGTGTCAAGCAAGTGATGCCTTTCCTTTAATTTGGCCAAGCTGAGGCAGGAACACACAGGTACTTAGGGACTGATGAAACAGTACCAGCCTCTTAAGTGCTAGCATTGAAAAGGATGCTCCATGGGTAAGCAGCTACATTAAAAAGCTTTGTAAGCAATCCTCTTTATGCATAGCCATAATCAGTCTGAGCTTCTGTCAGGCCTATGTGCAAGATCACAAGGACTACCTCAGCACAGACCAATTCCAAAATGTATACCAAAATCATATTACAGTTAGACAGCAATAGAACCACTGCCTATGGTCGATGGGTCATAGTGAATGCAAATCCCTCTCCTTTAAAAGGAGAAAAATCCAGTGGATGAGCAGTTACTTCTCCCTCCAATAAGTATTTAGCTGTCCCCTTGCCTCACCACTGAATTCATCAACCTATGTTCTATCAAATTCTGCCACTTAAGTGATTATATCCTCTCTGCAGGTCATTAGTCACTGATTAGCTCCAAGACTGCAGCCAGGGACAGTCTGTGTGACCACCTATTCCCTACCATTCTGTAACATACACACAAAAAAAGCCTAACAAAAGCTGTGCATAAGAAACATCTTAGAACATGAAGTCTCTGCCTAAAAATGGTCTGAATAACATGCTACTCAGACCTTCATATGCCCTTAAGCTTAAGGTGAAATTTAAACCATTAGAGTGAATTTCCTCCAACAGAGCACATGTTTTTAACCAATAAAATCAAGATGTCATATTACTAACTCTCTCTGCTCCTTCAAATGAGAAGCACATATGTTATTTAAATCACCAAATCTTAAAAAGCCACAGTGTGGTATTTAAACACAGCATATGAAGGATAAGGTGAAAGTCTAGAGGTAATTATGTAATGGAAGCTTCAGTATAAATAGTTCACATACCAAAATAGCAATGACCAAGAAAGGACAATCAGTGTTGTCATATTTAAAATAGTAAAAGAAATATAAAAGAATATTGTATATCTTTTATTATAATTGTGAATCAG